CAAGCTCAAAACCGGTAATTTAATTCGATTACAAAAACAAAATAAATGTTTGTTCATTTGACTGGCGAAAAATATCATAATATTAAGGTAAAATCATATACACAGCTTTAAAAATAATTTAAAACCACTCACCTCTATTTCAAGATGCACTCGTAATTATAACTACTTCAAAGAAGTTTCTTGTATATTATTTAAAATAAATAAACGTTTCTTCTACATTTTGTAGCCTTCATTTAAAATCTCAAAATATCAAGATGTAGGCTACCAGTTAAACATTTTGGAAAAATATATGTTGCCTAACCTAGTAGTAAAGGCATCAAAATGGCCGCGCCACATACTTTGATTTTCCCTTTCTATACGGAGAATAGTCGCACTGCGCAGCTTTCGGAGTATCTTTTAAAAGGAGATAGAAAACTCCGCCAATTTGATGCCTTATTACGTGTTGCCTACATCTTGGCGCAATATTTTTAATAGGTTCGTTTTAATCATCCGCTTCTGCTTCCGAACTGTCGGTTTTCTTGTTTTAATCTGACAGGTTAAAACGACTAAACCGACAATTCCGGAAGCAGAAGCGGATGATTAAAACGCACCTGATATTTTGCTTACTGCTGTCAGTGTCAGTAAATATTATTTTTGGAGTCACAGTTTATTGCTAAAGAATCAGTTAGCTCACTCGGACCAGTTGAAAGTTCCAAAATAACATCTACTCTAGGGATACAAATTCAGGATGCGCAGAAGACTGCTGTTTTATTATAGGCGGTTGTCATATATTGTCTTATCCGAGTTGCGCAGTGTATAAACTGGAACATTGAGATTAAAAGTGCCGACGCAGAGTGAGCGAACTGATTCTTTAGCTTTAAACTGTGGTAAAGGCATCAAAATGGCCGCGCCCTACGTTGGGCGTGTCGGACCTCTCTCTTGCACCGTATAGTAATCAGAGTATGTGGGCCGCGCCTTATGTTGGGCGTGTCGGACGTCTCTCTTGCACCATAGTAATCAAAGTTTTTTTTTATAATTTATTGGCCTACACAGCTAGGATGATACAGCCATTTGGTAACAACAGGTAAATAATTACAATATTTTACAGCTTAATTTTAGACATTTGTATAAATTTTGATATTTTTTTTAATATTACCGAAAGACAGAAGTTTAAACAATATATCAAAAAGGTGTAACAGGAATTATAAAATTTGTTGGAATATCTAAACTCTCTAAAAATGTATAAATAATATAAAAATTATTTTGAAAATTAAAAAAAATATGTTGTAAATCATCCCGTTCTCCACACGTATACACCTATCATTTTCTTTTACACCTATTTTCTTTAGATCCATCACACTTAAACAATGACCGCTTCTTAATCTGCATATCCCTTCTATTTAATTTTTTTATTTTTGCAAACCACGGTCTCTTTAATGGAATTTCAATTACATCTCCATATAGTTTCCACTTTAACTTGGCATATCACTTTATATTTCTCCTTCCATTTTTTCCATGAATTAAATTTAAAAAAGGGCAAGAGTTCACTATGATGCACCCTGGCATTATTATTTAATATTTGCAGTCGGCCTTTTTTGGCCAGTTTATCTACTTCCTCATTTCCAGTTATTCCACAGTGACTAGGAATCCATGCTAGACAAATATCTATCTAACAAATGTTAAATAGTCCATTTTAGTCGATATGTAATTACTGGATATTTTTTGGAGAGCACTTTTAGAGTCGCTGAAAATAACTGCCTTGCTAATATTTTCAGATATAATAAATATAACCGCTTCTATAATTGCATATATTTCGGCCTAACAGATTGAAAAGAAATTTGGAAGTCGAAAAGATTTGGCAATTAAATTTGTAGAAAAGATACCAGCGCCATGCGCCAGTTTTGCCCTGCCGATCTTTGGATCAATCAGTAAATAAAAATGTATAGTTGGGAAATTTTGACTTGGCTTCTATTATAAAATTTTGCTTATTGAATGTACATTTATCTAAATTTATTTCCATAAAGGGAATAGTCGCAACCTGTATTTCTATGGGAAATTGAAAGCACGGAAAGGTATCTAAAAAATGAATTTCTTAAAGAAAATGCCTAATAGCATGGAACCCTTCCATAATCGGTGCAATTTTATTGGCAGGCCAAAACTGGACATCTCTCAAAAAGCATTCGTTTAAAGAACTTATGTAGTAATAAAAGGGATTTTTATAGGATGAAATCTTAGTTACGTATTTTAGTGCTAACCAGCTTCTTTTCGAGACTTTAAGGTTGACTCTCCACTTTCAGATAGCAATATATTAGTTGGTGTCGAGCGCATCATACCTAATACTACACGAATAGCTTAATATTGCATTTTATCTAATCGTTTCAAGAGCTCTTGGGAACAACGGCCAAAAAGAATACTTCCAAAATCTACATGACTACGAACCAAGGCTTAATAAATCATAAGAATAGTAGATGGGTGGGCACCCCACCATGTACGGCATAAGCATTTCATTAAGTTAATGCCTTTTAGTGCTTTGCCACATATGTACTCTACATGTGGCTTCCAATTCAAATTATGTTGAAAAGTAACTCCTAAGTAGATATTTAATTTCATTTTTCCAGGGAATTTTGTTTCCATTAATTTTAATGTAATCTAACGGGTTGGGTTTACATTTATTTTTAAAACAGATAGCCATACATTTTGAAGAAGATAATTGTAGTCCATTTTCCTCCAAATAAGAATTAATATTTTTAAGTGACTCATTAACATCATTGATCATCTTTTTCCGATTATGGCCAGTGCAAATTAGAATAAAATCATCTGCATAACCGAGTAGAGTTACATTCTCGGAAATCACTGTTTTAAGAAAGTCACAATATATATTAAATATTATAGGGCTTAAAGGGGATCCCTGAGGAACTTCCTTATTTGTGATACGTGGGCCTATGATATTTCCAGATAACGAATCCAAAACGCTAATGCTTCGCTGCGACAATAAGGAAATGCAACTTCTACAAATATCCTCCGGAAGTGTTTATTCCGCTAACCTTTTAAATAATTTTGAAATATTTACAGTGTCATAAGCTGATGATATATCAAGCAGAGCTACCACAGCATCATCTTTGTCAGTTAGGCTTGTAGCAATTAATGAATACAAAGCCGTTAAGTTGTCCTGAATTCCTCTTCCTCGTCGAAAACCTGACTGTTTTGAATTAAGCAGGCTTTTATTTTCTAAATGCCACTCTATTCTGTTTTTAATTAATAATTCAAATAATTTACCGGGACAGGAGTAAAGGTTAATAGGTCTTTAACCTTCCGTAGAACTAATATCTTTTCCAGGCTTGGGTACAGGCGTCACCAGTTGAGATTTCCACTCTTGAGGAATAGGTTCCAAATTTGTTAAAACTCTATTATATATATTTAATAAATATTCCAGACCACTTAAAGGAAGGTGGGATAGCATAATATTTGATATGTTATCTAAACCTGGAGCCGTGTCCCTTTTCCCCTGGAGAACAGAATTAACTTCATCTAAAGTGAAAGGTTTACTTATTTTCACAGAAAAATTTATTTCAGATATGTTATCCTGATCAATATTATCAGTAAGCTCTTGTAATAATAAAGGGCCAATGTTAGAATTGAGAGGTGGGCATCGACGATATTGTTTTTGTGAATTAGAAAAAGCTTTTACAACATTCTATATCTCTGATACCTTTTTATTCGGAGATAAGCTAGAGCAAAATTCCTGAAAATTTTGCATTTTCTGTTCTTTTAGTTTTCTTCTTGTCCTTGTTTGAATTTTTTTAAATTTCACGTAGTTCTTAATCGTTGCATTTTCTTTGTATTGTCAAAGTGCCTCCTTGCGTGCTTGAATTGCTACTGTACAAGCATCATTCCACCAAATATTTCGAGGTTTACTAACCTTTTTACATTTTTTAATGGAATTGTTCTCTTTGCAGCCGAAATTATGATTTTAGAAAATTCACCGTATGTTCTGTCTATAGTATTAAATTCAGCTTCTATGGTTGATGTAAATAGTGGCCAATTAGCTCTTTTAGTATTAAATCGCCCAAGAGTTGTTTTACTATGGTCTATTTTTCCTTTATCTCCATTACTAAAGTGTGCAAGGCAAGGAAGGTGGTCACTGGTCCCAGAATCATATATTACTTGCCAATTTGATTTAGTAGCCAGTTCCGGAGGACAGATACATACGTCGGGAGCACTAGCTCCTTCATCTGGATAAGTAATTCTAGTGGGAGTGTCATCATTGAGTATGACAAGTCCGTAGTCATCTAGAAACTTTTCAAGAGTTAAGCCATTCCTGTTACAATAACCAGAGCCCCAGGCAGTATGTTGAGTATTACGATCCCCTATTAAAACAATTGGTTTGTGTGATTTTGCACTAATGAAAGTGAACACATTACCAAAAATATTCCTAGATAAAATTGTGTCAGGAGTTATGTAAATACTAATAAGAACTAAAGGAGGTAATTCTATTACTACAATTTGCCAAGAGTCAGGTAATAATATATTTGTTAGGATTATTCGATTAAACGCGATTTTATTATGAATAAATATGGCTACTCCCCCGTACCCATCATACCTGTCGTGTCTTATACAGTCAAAACCTCGAATAAAAGATATTTGATTATACTTTAGAAATGTTTCATTTAAGCACACTATGTCCAACTTAAAGTCTCGAATTAAGTGTACCAGTGTATCTTTGTTCGTATAAAAACTACGAATAGTTCAATGAAGTCCATTAAAATTAATTTAAATAATAATTAGAATAGGTTACTTAAATTATTTTAAATACTTATTACGATATAAATTGCTAAATGTGCAGCAGTTCGAATTTGTCATATTTAAATTTTTGGAAATGAAGAAGAGAAAGGAGTATTTGGAATATCATCAATTAATATGCTCCCGGAATCATTAGGATTGTTATTGTCAGATGCGTCTAAATGGATATCAATCCAGGAGAGAAGAATGCGGAGGAGATAGATTATCTGGTGTTATTTTACCTTGAGTACATTGATATACTGAGGGTTGAGAGTCTAATTTTGTGTTTGGTGTGACCTTTTCTTGAGTATATTGATATACTGATGATTGAGATACTAATCTGGTCGGTTGAGGAAGCAGAACTCCTTTATGTGCTAATATATCGTAGCCTGTTTTCTCAATCACGTTTACCTTTTTTCTTTTTGGTGTCATAGTAACTTTTGCATAAGACCGTCTTGTTGAAGAGGATGATTCAGAGAGAGTGGCAGTTAACGGTGGAAAAGACTGAGGGGTACGTTGAAAATTATATTTGTTGATATTTCTGGATATAATTGGAGGAGATAATTTTGATGCCTCATAATATGACAAATCCTGAAAGGACATTAGTTCAATAATATTCTTCTGGCGGGAAAACTCAGGGCAATTTTTATCTGTAGATTTGTGATTCTGATCGCAAAAAATACATACAGGTTCTTTATCACAATTTTCATGACTTTCACAGCAGCAGTTACAACGATTTTTACTTCAACATTGAATTTGGGCATGACCAAATCTCCAACAGTTTCTACATTGCGTAACAGGAGGAATATAAGCAAAAACTTTAGTATGGGACGTGTAAATTTCAATTTCTTCAGGTCTTCTTTTTCCTTTAAAAGTTAGTAAAAAAGTAGATGAAGGTAGATACTGAATTCCTTCTTTAGTGACTATTCTCCTGTTTAGTCTACGGGCTTCTATAATATTGTATTTGTTGCCAGCATTTTGTAAAATATCTTCACTTGTAATGGAATAGCCTACATCTCTAATAATGCCTTTGACAGTTAAAAACCTTTGAGAAATGTATATTTTATAACCCTCACGTAAGAGTGTCTCGTTACAAAGTATTTTATTGGCTTCATGTGGAAGATTAAAATTTATTTCAACTCTGTGTTTGCCTTTCTTTTTAATACTTTTAACATTAGAGATTCCTAGGGCATGGAATCTTTTTCCCAAGTCCATAGGATATAGACTCGGTATGTTTTCTCTATTGACTTTTGTTCGACTATTACTGTAAAAGGGCCAAAATATGATTGCGAATAAGTGACTATTTTAGATTTACAAGCAGTAACTTTATTTTACAATTGTATTATTTCCCTTGACACTTCTTCATTATCCTTAAACTCTTCTAGGGTTTAATACAGTTCCTTCTCAAGATCTAATAAAGACTTATTTTGTGCTGGTGATAGCTGATGTAAAGAGTTCAGTAATTCATTTTGTTCTGTAGTGCAAAAACTTTTGTTGGACTTGAAAATATGTAAAATTATAAGCTAAAAAATTAGTTTATAATTAAAAAGCAAAATTTGGTTTTTATCTGACACTGGTAAAATTGACAACCCCGTAATCAAAGTATGTGTTCCAGGGTGACTTCTGTCTGCCCGCCTCTCGCTATGTTGATTACAATCTTAGACTAGGCAATAAAGAGAGGACGCGTAACAAGTATATCGAGCACACGTAGTATTCCGGCCCATTATCTATTAACCGCCATTATTTTGGTGCTAATCATTTCGGTGACACCAAAGTTATTTCTGATTTTTGAATGAAACGACATTTAATAATTGGTTTATTACAATGGTAGCATATCAGTGTAAAAGTTATAGCGGCAAGAAAGAAGCAGATATTACATTTCACAGGTAAATGATAAACATCAATCGTTTTTACTTTATATATTTTCTTATATTTTTTATTTTATTTGGTGTTATACAACTTGGTATTTACATATTGAACATGTCTCACTCCAGAGTAATAAATTTTATCCACTAAGTTTGTTTATTTTATACTTTTCATTGATATTTAAGCAATTAATGATATTAAAATGGCCAGACAAGTAATTTTTTCCAGTGGCGTGACGTACAATTCTAAATATTAACTTTTATTAAACTCTAATTTACTTTTGCTTTTTATTTAATTGTAGCAATGTTTATTTGTTGTTTTATTTTAGATTTCCTGAGGATCCAGCAAAAAATCTTTGGATTTAGGCAACGAAAATTGCAAATTGGATGCCTACGTCAAATGATAGATTGTGTTCAAAACATTTTAAAAGACATTTTTTTTAAAGACGTTTACTAAACATTTTCTACTGTATTTCATGAATTTCCTAAAAACATGCAGCCGAAGAAGGCGCTTATACTAATAAACACAATAAAACATATATATTTTTTTAATTACTTTTCATTATTATGCTATGAACTTTTAAGAATTTAGTAACACTTTCGTGTATAATTCAAAACATTACCATAATAATTTATTGTTTGTAGGACTTAAAAAAAAGATCATTGCAAATAAAAATGCAAATAAGGACTCTATCCTAGAAAGCCCTAGCATAAAACGGCTTAGAAAATAAGTTTTACAACAGGTAAAAGAGAATAAAGAAAAAACAAGACAAATCAAAGTTCTTAAACAAAAACTTCAAAGATATATAAAAGAGTTTCGCTAAAACTTCTTGTTATTATACCAAATAAGTATTATTTAAGGGTCAGTTATAAATGTACCTTCATTTATGTATAATTTTTCTTACTAGCTTAATTTAATAATACCCAAATAGCACACTACATCTTAAATACGTCCATTTCATGTCTTACTTTTGTCCAAACGTAAAACGTCTTTGTTGGGATGTTTTTAGGACGTTTTGAATATGTCGATAATGTAGACGTTCAACTCTTTTCGCTATATTTGAATATGGCGCCACGACGCCGTTCTTGGCGCTGCCTACAGCGCATGTATGATCGTCATTGTCATTGGCTGATTGGATAGTCTCGCGGGCGCGTATTGAGTGGTGTTCTTCCTCTGGCTGCCTTCTTCTCGGGACAGCCATTGTATAATATTTTTAGCATCAGTCTGTGGACATTTTCATTACTTTTTCGTGGTTGTGTGTTTTTATATATTGTCTTTTTATATTATTTATTTGCCATTATTAAAACTTAGGTATACTGTAACTAGTAAACTTTATCATTAAAAACGCTAAGTTTTAATTTGTTTGACTTTTAATTTCATAACCTCTTTTTAATGTCTTATTTTTTAGAAATACACCTTGAAACAATAATTCAACAAAATTATATGCTACGGGGACATTAGTTAGAGACGCTTTGTCTAAAATTAATATCATAAAAGTTTTTTAAATCGACCAAACTGGAAAAAAGTAGGATTTCTGGGAATAGTTTCTTATAGCAACAAGTCATTTTCTAATTATTTTATACAACACTGTAAAATAATATTTACTTTGTGTCAGTTTTAATAGTTTAATATTGTATAATGAACAGTAATAATATAGTAGACAAGTATTCATTTATTTTTTTAAACGAATTTCCATCAAGTAAATAGACAAATTAAACACGTCTAATACGATTTCTTTTAAAGACGCACAAAATTGGATGTCTTAAAGACGTACAAAATTGTCCTAAAGACGCCTTGTTTTGTAACAATGTACGTCCTATATCTTTTGGATATTAGCGTAGATATTTAAAACGTCACGAACGTCGTGAATAAACGTATTTAAGATGTCTTCAAAACGTGTCTGTGCTATCTTGCTATCTGGGTAGTGTCATTCTTTATTAACTAAAAATAAATCTTTTTGTATTACATGTAGATCATTATGTTTTATTTTGTGGAATTTAAAAAAAAAAACACTAATTTTATTATGCAAACGATTTTATTCAATTTATTTCAATATATTTTTTTTCTTGGGTCTTATTTATTGTTTCCTATTTATTTTAAATTTTACGCGTTGAACTTGCTTTATACCTAAAAAGATCAATTAAGTGCTAATAACATAAATACAAGTTCGTTTTTTTATTTCCAACATGTTACGCCTTTGGTCGAATATCGTTGGTGTCAGAATGGAACAAGATTTTCAGCGGCGTTATGAGTCCTCTCTTTATTATCTAGTCTAAGGTTACAATCGAAACTGTAAATAGAAAAGTGTAGACTTTACCGAGTCATCCCTATTTTTGTGTAGCCAGCTCTTCATCTAATAGTAGTCTTAATACGTTTTGTAGGCATGCAAATGTACACCATCACAACCCCGGGAACAATAATGATTTAGTGCTGCCCAAATCTAAGCTAAATGTGTCTGAAAAAAATAAATCAAACACTAAACTCTAAGACCTGCATAACGAATTAAATTTTAATTTACTAAATACAAAACGAGTTCAGAAATTAGCTAGAGAGTTCTTACTTGAGGAGTGGTTTTACTCAGTTGAGGAATTTTTAAATTTTAAAAAATCTAAACTCACTTGTTATCCTTTTTATTATAAGTACTTTTATTACATTTTTGTGTCATTTTAATTTATTTGTAAAACATTTGTTTCCGACATAAATGTACACTTGAAGTGTTTTATTTTTTAATATTTTTTATATTTTATTTTTATATCGTATTTGTTTTTATGTATATTTAATTTTTTTTAATAAGTTTATAACTATTGACAATTTTATCTTTATCTTCATTTAATTGACTATTTCAATATGTAATTGTAATTTTAATCGTAAACATTGTCGTTGTGACTCTAATGTACTATTATTGTATGAATTATTGGTCAATAAATCTATCTATTTTTAATAATATTATTATTATTGTTTTTTTTTTTGTTATCACGTGTTTCTTGCGGCCGATGAGGCAAATCACAAAGCTCGCAAGATTTTTCTTTTCTTCTTATTGTTCCTGTTCTTCCGCAGGCTTGTTGAGTACTTTACAGACAACATTGCATGTTCCCAAGATCGCCGCTTTCTGTAGTTCTGTATGTATTCCGAAAAGCTGGTCCAGGACTTGTAACTTGTTATTATTGTTATTATTGTTATTATTGTTATTATTGTTATTATTGTTATTATTGTTATTATTGTTATTATTGTTATTATTGTTATTATTGTTATTATTGTTATTATTGTTATTATTGTTATTATTGTTATTATTGTTATTATTGTTATTATTGTTATTATTGTTATTATTGTTATTATTGTTATTATTGTTATTATTGTTATTATTGTTATTATTGTTATTATTGTTATTATTGTTATTATTGTTATTATTGTTATTATTGTTATTATTGTTATTATTGTTATTATTGTTATTATTGTTATTATTGTTATTATTGTTATTATTGTTATTATTGTTATTATTGTTATTATTGTTATTATTGTTATTATTGTTATTATTGTTATTATTGTTATTATTGTTATTATTGTTATTATTGTTATTATTGTTATTATTGTTATTATTGTTATTATTGTTATTATTGTTATTATTGTTATTATTGTTATTATTGTTATTATTGTTATTATTGTTATTATTGTTATTATTGTTATTATTGTTATTATTGTTATTATTGTTATTATTGTTATTATTGTTATTATTGTTATTATTGTTATTATTGTTATTATTGTTATTATTGTTATTATTGTTATTATTGTTATTATTGTTATTATTGTTATTATTGTTATTATTGTTATTATTGTTATTATTGTTATTATTGTTATTATTGTTATTATTGTTATTATTGTTATTATTGTTATTATTGTTATTATTGTTATTATTGTTATTATTGTTATTATTGTTATTATTGTTATTATTGTTATTATTGTTATTATTGTTATTATTGTTATTATTGTTATTATTGTTATTATTGTTATTATTGTTATTATTGTTATTATTGTTATTATTGTTATTATTGTTATTATTGTTATTATTGTTATTATTGTTATTATTGTTATTATTGTTATTATTGTTATTATTGTTATTATTGTTATTATTGTTATTATTGTTATTATTGTTATTATTGTTATTATTGTTATTATTGTTATTATTGTTATTATTGTTATTATTGTTATTATTGTTATTATTGTTATTATTGTTATTATTGTTATTATTGTTATTATTGTTATTATTGTTATTATTGTTATTATTGTTATTATTGTTATTATTGTTATTATTGTTATTATTGTTATTATTGTTATTATTGTTATTATTGTTATTATTGTTATTATTGTTATTATTGTTATTATTGTTATTATTGTTATTATTGTTATTATTGTTATTATTGTTATTATTGTTATTATTGTTATTATTGTTATTATTGTTATTATTGTTATTATTGTTATTATTGTTATTATTGTTATTATTGTTATTATTGCTATTATTGTTATTATTGTTATTATTGTTATTATTGTTATTATTGTTATTATTGTTATTATTGTTATTATTGTTATTATTGTTATTATTGTTATTATTGTTATTATTGTTATTATTGTTATTATTGTTATTATTGTTATTATTGTTATTATTGCTATTATTGTTATTATTGTTATTATTGTTATTATTGCTATTATTGTTATTATTGTTATTATTGTTA